CGGCACTCTAGCCCGGGCAACAGAGCGAGACTCTGTCTTAAAAAAACAAAACTTCTAGGGTTGCTGTAACAAAGTTCCACAAGCTGGTGGCTTCACACAACAGAAATTTATTCTCTCAGAGCTCTGGAGTCTCACAGTCTGGAATCAAGGGCTGAAATCTGAACCCTTCTTTGTCTCTTCCTAGTTTCTGGCGGTTTACCAGTGTAGGAGAGTAAGCATGACCCGTTCTTAGTTGGGACAGACCCCAGTTACAAAGGACAGGTTAACAAGAGAAAACCAAGCAGAAGTTTATTAACACATATTTCAAATGTACATGGAGAGATCCTGAGTAGTTCTCAAAGAGGACGATGCTCACGTAGCATCTTCATCAGAGAACAGTAAATTTTAGTGACAAGACGATGGAAAAAGCACTTCGAGTCTCTACAGGCAGAAACGTGGAGAAGGAAAGCAAATAGCTGGCAGATAAAGGTCAGCAAAACTTGCTAATACGAATTCCTCTAGTACCGTGGCCGGGCTGATAAGAGTCTAAAGCTGATTTCTGTGATTAACTTTTGTTCCCCCTGGTAGAGAGTGGGACGGGACACTTTTTGTCTTCCTAAATCTTTGTCCTGTTTTTAGGCAAATAGAGGGAGGGCAGAGATCTCCGTGCATCTGTTTCTTCTTGTCTTCTGCTCAATAATTCTTCGTATTTTGAGGAGGCGAATTCTGGTCTCCTACACCCGCCAACGTCAGTGTTCCCTGCTTGCAGCTGCATAATTCCGGCCTCTGCCCTGGTTGCCACGTTTCATTCTCCCCGGATGTCTCTGCCTTCACGTGGCTGCTGCTTGTAAGGACCCCAGTCAGTCGGATTGGGGACCCCCCTTGCTCCAGTCGGACCTCGTCTTCATTAATCACGTCGGCAATAACCCCGTATCCAAACAAGCTCTCGTCCCGTGATACTCTGGGTCGGGGCTTCAGCGACTCCTTGAGGAGCAGACACAGTTCAACCGTAACACCTGCCTCACTTGACTGTATTTCGTTTCTGGGCCTCTGACAGTAAGCTCTCCTTGGTTTTGAAAACTGCTTTTTACTTGAAAAATTGGACAAGAGGTTTCCTTGGCTTTGAAAACTGCCTTTCACTGGAAAAATTGGAACATTTTCCAAGTTGTGATTGCCGTTTTTTTCTTTTTTTTTTTTTTTCAGTGATCCACCTCTAAGAGTTGTGTGATTGCCGTGCTTTTTTGCAGTTTTCATTTTTCCTTGTGTCATTAAGTTTCACGACCCAACAGAGTGTCTTGACGTTGAGCAGAGAATGATCCTTGCTCCCTGGCTCTTTGAAAGCTCCTGAGTCCTGGAGTTTATCGGAGAGTTTGATTTGAAGCCTTGATTTTTTATTGTGGTCTTTGCAGGGCTTTACGAAGTGAGGAGTGACTCAGCTTCTCCTCGTCTTCAGGATGTACCTGCAGCCGCTGCGATTCTTGTCTGGAGCGTTTGGCTTTAAATATGTTTCATGTCAACAAGGTTGGCACCTTGTGTTTTTCTCTTTCTTTCATCCTTCTGAATATAAATGTTTAATTTCTTGCAAACCCAGTACACTCCGTGAAGCTTTCGTGAGTCAAAAACAGATTGGGGGTCACGGCAGAGAGCTCCCAGGCTCAGCTTGGCCGCACCAGCGACCTCAAGACAACCTGGGTTACTGCTGAACTCCGGAGGGTCATTTTAGGAGATCAGGGAAAATTATATCAGCATGAAGACGATGGTTCACATGAGATGCCGCCTAGTCTGGTAATTAGGAGCAAAGACTGATGGGACAGACCATCTCCTGGCCATGAACTTGGGCAAGTTAGCTGAGCATCCGTTTCGTCGTCTGTGAATAGGATTTATTATATCAGCCACGCAAGTTTATTGTGAAGATTCACTAAGCAAATGCAGGAAACCTGCCTAGCACAGGGTTTGGCGCAGCAAGTAGCAGCAATTTGTTCTTAGTATAAAGAGCTCCTGTTATTTTTCTCCCTTTATTTAGACAGTTCTTGCTTTAATGTATTTTCCAACTTGTTTCAGAATCGTTTTCCTTTTGGGGGGCATCTGAAGGTCAAGTTTAAGAAAAAGAAAACAACTCAATGTGTTTAAGGGATGTGGCCGCAAACCTGGCGAAACAAGATTTAAAAAAAAGTAAAAGACTTTGCCAAGTATTCGTGCGATGTCTACGTTAGCCCTGGGTACTCGGGTTACTAGGAATAAACTCAGCCGAGTATTGATGAATAATATAAATATCAAGGAATCGAGCCGGCACTGAAGTAGGCAGTGTAAACAGCTCTGTTTGGCTGCAAAGACGCCAACATTCCCGAACAGTGAGCTCATCATCACATTCTTCATCTTCCACACCCAGAAAAGAATCCATGACTTGTTTGCTCATTTTTGCTTTGATTTTCTTGGTAGCCGGAATGAAATCGAGCAGTGGGTCTTAAACTTTAACGTGCATTAGAATCACCTGGAAGCCTTCTTGAAACAGGGATTCTGAGTCCTGGCCCTGCAGTGGCTGACTGAGTAGGAGTGGGGTGGGGCTGAGAACTTGCATTTCTATTAAGTTCCCAGGTGACGTTCAGGAAGCAGGAACCACAGTTTGAGACCTGCTGAGATGAAGTCTCCAGAGGCTTCCTGCTGTAGTTAGAGCACAGGGCGTTCTGGTCATAGCAGGTGGGTTTAAATCCGGGGCTGTCCTCATTAGCAGAGTTCTGTTACGCAAATAATCTCCCTGAGATGGAGTTTCTTCCACTTTTCATTGGAAATAATAAAATCCACCTCATTGAGGTC